AACCCATTATAATTGTATATATAAAAAAAGAAAATTGTTTCGGGGACTTTCTAGACTAGCCGTATCTTCCATCACATCTTGTATTCATGTATGTTCAATATAAATGTCGACATAAACATTTATTTCAAGTTATAAACATTTCTCAACCGAGAGATCTGAACAGTTGTTATGAAATAGACACTCTAATACAATTTCACAAGAATGCCTGTATAGATACTTTTTGATTGGTAAATAATTGTTTGCTTAAGATTATCGTTTTAAATAAACAGAAAAATAGATCGATTTTTTATTGTATTTTTTTTTTTTGTGCCGTCAAACTAAACTGCTCAAAAATGAATATGGATATTATTAACACTAGCATTTTTATTTTATTTTGACTATAAATTGCATTAAAATTTATTAGAAATTATTTTTTTTACTGAGGGAAAATTTAATTAAGGGATTTTGAAAAATAGCAAAATAAAAGGTTTTAATTCCATAAGTTATTTATCGGACAAAATAATTTTTTAAACAATTAATACCGTGAATCTGTTAGGCACACTGATAATAAGGTAAAGTAGGGGGGGGGGGCGCAACGGTTTAGGCGTTGACACGGCGCTAATCACTGTAAGGTAAAGGTCCCGGGTTCGAATCCAGCGGCCCTGCATTCGAACCCGACATACTTACAAATGGGCTTTTTTTTCTCAAAAACACCGGCACTCTAAGGGTTTATATGACCTCTGCTGTTGCGAACCCTCGTAAAAAAAAGGTAAAGCAATTTCGTAAGGAATTTAACTCCATAGAGCCAACGCTCCACGCAGTTGTTGCAGGTCAATCGGCTGCGGATGGTGTTGGAAACGCCTTCTCTGCAACGCATCCCACATGTGCTCAATGGGATTGAGGTCTGGAGACAATGGGAAATTCGAAATTCATAATTGTATTCGAAAAAACTGTGAGGTCTGGCGTTGTCATCCAGAAATCGAAATTCCCTGCCAATGAGATCCCTGGTTTGAGGGATGTATTCCTCTATAATTTCTTGGACATACGAACTGCGGTGAGGTTGCCTTCAAAAATAGGGAGTCCTGTTCATCTTCCAGTGTAAATCCCAGCACAGACGGTTACACCTCCAAACTGCAGTGAAGAGTGCACAAACTGGGGCATTGTACACATCCCCTGCTCTCAGTAGACTCTTCGGCACCTGCTTATACTATATAAACGCATCTCATCAGTAAACATAACAGCTTTCAAATAGGTGTTCACTTCAGGTACTCGCTGCATCATATTCTCCTGAGTTGCTGGTGGCGGGCCGTTGCTGCAGGTTGTCTCAAAGGGGCAACGGTGTGAGGCCTACTATCCATGTTGATAAAAACCTTGCTAAAACATCTTGTACCTCATTTAGTATCTGGCGGAGCACTATGGAAAGGGTTTCATCTTGCAGTAATGACAATATTTCTGTCCTCCCTTTGCATCGTAATGTGCTGAGATCGGTTGAGAAGCTACCATCTCCTGGGTGTCTGACTTAATTGGAATACTACCGACCTAGCCACATAACCTCTAGGTTCAGACTAGAGTCACCACACCGGGAAGTGACAACTCTTTGAGGTGAAAGTCCCGTATCTGGGCTCCCAGTAACCCAGGGCCTCGTCAATAGTGGATCAAATGACACAATTAACAAACACAAACAAACAGAAACTTAGAAACAAGATAAAAACGGGATAGTCTGGTTAGCATTCACATTACCCCAGAGCACTCACTGTCCATCTGGGTAATGAGGGAAAAGCCCTTCCATTCACGCTAATAAATTATATTGGCACACCAGATTTCGTTCATACTACTCCAGAGTACTCTTCGGGGTTATGTGGCTCGGTCGCTAGTATTCCAATTAAGTCAGACACCCAGGAGATGGTAGCTTCTCAACCGATCTCAGCACATTACGATGCACTCGGTAAACACGGAGTTACATAAATTTCATCGATAATATGTTGCATTTATCAATACAATTGTGTTGTGCAATTTATTGAAAATCTGTTACAAAAACGACAGAAAATTTTTGAAAATTCGCACAAAATACAAAATGTTGTTGATCAGTGTCGTTTTCTTTCTCTTTCTATGTGCCACAAGTCGACATTAACCATGGCACGATGAAATTTTTCCCCAGAAGAAAACGAAAGAAACGGAAGCTTCGAAGCGGAGGGAGAATTTGAAGAGTGGTTCTAGAACGTGGTAATTATTAGTTTTTATCAAGGAATTTGTTTTAATTCTGGTACAAGAAATTCTGCTGTTGGCTTTCGGTCGTCATCTCATCTTATGCTCCACGAATGTTCTGCTTACATTCTAATTGATATTATGCTGCAGTAGACCGCACAAGATAAATATTTCTTAATCAGGCAATTAGAACAAACGCAACGAAATGCACATTCCACACAATTTCTTTGTTGCAAGAACCGTTTTTGTACTAAAGATTTAAGAGTCAGGTTTCCTTCTTTTCATTTTCATTTATTAAACACCCAATAAGACAGCAACTGGGAAAATAATAATAGGATAAATCATGGTGTTGCTTGTATTTCAGTCCATTGATAATATTTAATTAATTTAATTAAATAATTCAGTTTCCAAGAACTTGACTGCTAACCAGTGGGTATTTTCCGTTAACTTTTGCCGTGTGAATCATTCACCGTGGAAGATGAAAGTGTAACGGTCCTCAGTTCTCTTTTCAACATGCTTCGTCATCGAGGACGAATGTTTCTCTACTTCAGGGTACATTATTATTATTAATTATTAACCGCATTATTTTATTCAAAAATACTTAATGACATGTATTATTTATTGAACTCGAGTAGGAAATTGAGCCAGTCTTAGATTTTAGATTAGCCTTTGTTAGAAAAGGTTTTTAAAAATTATAATGTAAATAAATAAGAATAAACTAATTATCAATTTCACTCGCTCTAACGATGTTGAGAATCTAATTTATATATTTTTTTAAAGTTTATTATTGAAATAAATTAAGATTAAACCATTTATGTTTACTGGTCTAATTGACCAAATTACTTACTTCAATTAATTATTCGTTTTATGTAAGATCTTGGTTGAGATGAAAAAGTTAGCGTCACGAGCGGGATTCGAACCCACGACCTTCGGCTTAATACGCCGTTGCTCTAACCACTTGAACTATGGTGACTTCCACTCGGACCCGAACCCCCCTCGCTCGTGAGACTAGCTTTTTCTTAACCAAGACCTTACAAAAAAAGAATAATTTATTGAAATAAGTCATTTGGTCAATTAGACCACTAAGCTTAAATAGATAAATATTTAATCAGTAAAGCAGTATCATTTCACTAACAGCTCCCCGTGGCCATTTCGTAAGTCGCTGAGAATCGAATCCTGATTACACGGCAAAAATGACAAAAAGAGGGAAAATTCGAAAGGTTGGTGTCCTAGTGGATCGAAGTCACGATAGCTCACGTGGTTAGAGAAGCGGCATATTGAGCCGGAGGTCGTGGGTTCGAATCCTGCTCGTGACACTAACTTTTCATCTCAATCAATTATGTTAGAGTAAAAATTGAGTTGACCCGAAACGCTTCTGACTCCAACACAAACGCGAGAGATGATCAATTTGAATTAAAATACTGTCAATAAATTAACATTGGACCGCTGGTTACTTCGTTGAAATTCCTTTCTCTAAAGAGGCGAAATATCAGGGAGTTATTTTCGACCAGAGACTTTCATGGATACAACGAATAATCAAAATCAGAGAGCAAAGATTGCCATTAGTAGATGCAAAGTTGCAAGTTGTGGTAAAACTGGGCACTGAATCCAAAGATGTCACTACCGCTATACACAGCGGTTTTTAGACCCATCGGTTTGGTGGGCTAAGACATGATACCTGAGGGCGGTTCAGATCCTCAGTACTGTTCAGAGATCAGTATGTCTGAGCATCACTGTGACAATGAGAACAACCGCCAAGGCTGACCTGCAAGCCCTTCTGAGTCGAGCACCACCACATATCTTTATCCAGGGGCAGAGGGGTAACGAAGAGGCCGATAAATTGGCCAAGGAACGTTCAGTGAGGAACCTATTGGCCCTGAACCCTTCAGTGGCTTACCAAACTGCAAAAAAACGCGGATCCATTAGACATTGGAATTTATTCCACGACAGAGGCATGAGAAAAGTTTTATGAAAGGACCATCGCAGAGACTAACAGCAGAACTAATAAATCTAGGACATGCTAACTGCAGACTCCGGAGGCGTTTTTACAGACTCAGAGTGGCAGAAACAAACCTGTGCAGATATTGCCAAGAAGAAGAAGAAACAGAGGAACATCTCTGTTGGTGCGAAGGCCTATGTGGGCTGAGATTCCTAATCCTAGGAGATGAAAAGCTACGGCCTGAAGGATAATACAAATGGGAGTCCTTGAAAAAGCTTTGGGCTCTGGTAAAAAACCTCAAGTTAACGAGGAGCTCTAGTCTCGGTGAACAGGTCGTAAATAGGACGGCTCCTATATAATCTATTCTAATCGGGTTATTTCGACACTTTTCAAGAAGTGAATTTTGAATCTTTTTTCGCTAAAACAAAATGAAAAATCGAATAGGTTTAACGAAATAATTTTTTTTAAAAAGTATTACATTATCACTAGTGTCATTCACGGATAGCTGATACAAATAATTGTTAAACTGAATACAAACATGTTTATTTTTTACTAACATAACTAAAAAAATTCAAAATCAAAAGGCGGAACTCCTTGGATTTGGTTGACCCCAACTCATTCATTTGTTCCCCGACTGTCATCATCAGAAATTATAATGCTTTTAAGCTTCATAGCATACAAGACAGTGTACTGGATCGTGTCATGACTATTCTATTCGACCACAATATAATTACAGCCATTGTGTTGTGCAGTTTTAAAATTGCTGTGATTCCATGGAATTTGTTTTACCCTATTCTTTCTTAAAACTAAGAATTGTATGACATATGTGATTAAACAACGTCCGACATGCTATTAATTTGATTTGTATTTTTTCCAGATTCCAACAGCTGTAATATCAATAATACATTCACAGAATATATGTAAGTAAGATTTTTTATTTAATTTTAAATTTTGTATTGTAAAGCTTATCCATTTGAAATAGCACTTTTTTTATTTATTTTATCAGATACTAATTTTTGATATAATCTAAATTTTATCTTTTATCGAATTTTTTTCTATTATAAGAAAAATCCTTTCGTAACAACCTCAACAAGAATATTTTTTCCCAATCTTTTGTAATAATCGGGATTTATCAAATTTATAACATTTCATTATAACAACTTTACCTTACTATGGAGGAGGAGCACCTAACCAGGTGTTGTTAGGATCCTGGAGCACCAGTCTCATCCGTCCCTCCCGCAAAAGTTAGTCACCGGGTTCGTCTATCGACAACTATGTCATTTCATTTTAATTTAGATTTGGATGTATTTAGGCTCAAATGCGCACGTGTATGTACATATATATACACAAGTAGCTGAGCCTACCACTTCTCGTAGACTACCGGCAATTCCAATTTTTGTAATTTCCAATAAATAACCGGCAGGACTCGAGAATCACTCACCTCGGGTGTTAGCCAGTCCCGTGGTCAGGCCTCAGGTCTTGTCCTTAGTACTACTCGATATTCCTCCACCATTCTCCGCACATAAATTGAGGGTCGATGGGTATTCAATTCCGCCATCGGCCTTACAAACTTACATGACACATTAACGCTAATAAATACATTCACTTTTAAACACTTTTTAACACAAGTTAGATTACACAACTATTATTACTAGATACAAACAACTACACCATTGCCTCCAAGAATCGAAACAGGGGACCCAGATATTCTCTGCCGCGCTCAAGTCTGGTTCTCATATCGAGTCCCATTCCTACACGCTCCCTATTGTATATAGGGCTAAGGAATTGCACCCTTCAATTAGGTAGGACACATCAAACAGCCTTTCTCTACATGCCGGACACCTACGCGGGCGTTGCCCCAAAAGCAAGTGTGTCCGTGTGTCAACCTCGAATGGCCTATACTTATTCGGGTGAGGATGACCCTTCTTCTACGAGTCAGATCCTCTGACGGCCACTCATCGACAGTGCTCTTGATACACGATAGCTTCTCTGCTTCACAGTCACGTTTTTAATGCATTTTTAGCCGTTAAGACGTTGGGACGTCCGGCCTTAGCCGCCTCGTCTGCCTTTTCATTACTCAAACCCTCCGGGTAGACAACAACTACCGTTTGACCGAGATATCATTTTAATTTCTATTAAGATAATTAATATTTAAAAATCCAACTGATTATACTAGCAAAAAGTCTACCGTCCAGAAGGAAGTACATTGCCACTCGACCCTCCTTTTCCTTACAAACCATCATTGAGCTAATGTCAAGGATAAAAATATATTTTGATTCGCCGTGATAATTGAGGATTAAATGTAATCTTTTAAAGTTATTTTGCATTCTAGAGGAAAATTAGGCAAGAGTAAGGTTGATGACCGTTCACGGACTCTTAATAAATTCAAGATTCTATTTCGTAGAGCACACTCATTACAATATTGTAATTACATTGCGTATAGAGCGAGTGAGCTTGTGTTAATCTTTTTTTTCCTCCCACGCATTCTTGTTTGCATTAATATAAAATTCAACCATTCCATTCTAAACGGTATAATAATAATAGTAACTATTCTTTTTATGTTAGGTCTTAGTTGTGATGAAAAAGTTAGTGTCACGAGCGGGATCGAACCCACAACCTTCGGCTCAGTACGTCGCTGCTCTAACCACTTGAGCTATCGAGACTTCGATCCACTCGCGGACACCCTCCCCCCTCCACCGCGGCTCGTGACACTAAAAGTTAATGTCACGATAGGTCAAGTGGTTAGAGCAGCGACGTATTGAGCCGAAGGTCGTGGGTTCGAATCCCGCTCGTGACACTAACTTTTTCATCACAACCAAGACCTTACATAAAAAGAATAATTAATTGAAAGAAGTAATTTGGACAATTAGACCACTAAACAAAAATGTTTTTGGCCATCGTTTAGTTAACATTATATTAAAACTAGAAAATAAAATTATTTTACAAAAAAAGATAACAATAATTACATTTTTGATAGATTACAATAAAATCAATATCACTTGAAATAGTTCTTTCACAATTAATTCTATAACAAAGAGCTTTTTTTCATACAAAACAGTTCCAGAGTAATCCGTTTAGATACATATAAAATACAACCTCAGTTAGTACATTTTTATTAAAATATTTTATTTTGTAAGGTTTGGTGATAGGGCAAACAGCAATCAAATGATGACATTTTTTGCTTGCTTTAAATTGCATATAGTACACATTTGACACAAATTTTCTTTGAATGGTCAGAAATTTAAATTTTACAATTGACATCTTGCTTTTAAAATTAACTAAGCTTCACTAAATAATCTAGACGTTACATAATCATTATCATAATACAATTTATTGTACAAATTATGATGAATTCCATATCTAGCCTTTAATAGCCTCTTGCCATATTCAAATAGTTTTGCTTGTAATTTATCTATGCTAAAATTCTAAACCATTTCCATATTTATATTATTTAAATCTGCGCCAGTGTTGAACTTATTTACACTGTTTCTAACCGGAGTATAAGTTACAATTTTATTTTTAAAAGCCTCGAAGCTCTTCAAGGCGTGTCGTTAAGAGCTGGGAATCATGAAAATCCTTAAAATTCATTTGTTTTTTAAATTTATTTTATTCCTAAAGACACGAAATTTTATCCTTTACATTTTCCTTGTAAGTATCGAAAATATATTAGCGGTCATGTAATTAACATAACGTGTATCACTCTACCAATGGGCGGATTTTTCTCAAAATCATTACTGCATTGTAGATTACGTGATAAAGCTTTTCCCCCATTTTAAGCAGGGTGTAAAAATTTAAATTATCTTGACTTTTATATCCTCAGAAAGGAACCACTGTAGTTTTTATTTTTATTTTTAATTTTAATAAACGGATTAAATGACGCAACATAGATTATATTTATTGATATTCCAACAAAAGTTGCCAGGTTTAACAGTGATGCTTTACGGAATATGCATTAGTAAGGAAAGTGGTGCTATAGCTATAAATATTTCGCCTATTCAAGCAATGAGAGTATTCTTGTACCACTGTCGTTTATTTCCTCGACTGTTCGCGGTATTTTTAGAATCAGAGTACTCATAGATTTGCAGTGGTTTTAGAAAACCTATTCAACCTATATCAAATTTGTGGTGTTTTATTAATTTTAAACAGCGCTATTGATACATGGAGAATAAAGTGCAGCTTAAAATACCAAATCTGCTGAATGTTTTTGCTTTTACATACAGTGCTACAATTATGTTCAATGTTGGTTTTATGTTAATTCCTGTCTTGGATCAGTTATGGCTATATTATTATTTTAAAAAAAACTTTTGGTTTTGTAAGGTAGCAAAGCAAATACACTGACAGGCAAAAAATTCCAACCACTTGTAATATAACCTAATTTGTATATATTTTTAGATATTAATCAAAGCTTCACGTTTTTTTTTAACGTTTAATAATTGAGTCTTTGTGTACAAAAATAAAAAGAAAATAAATAAATGGCTAAGGAAAATGGGGGGAAAAAAGACAGACCGATAAAATTTGTTTTGGATTTGTAATTATCATTTCAATATCGCGTATTTCCTCTTGCGTTAATTACATCTCGAAGACGCCTCGGCATATTTTCTACCAGTCTGGAATGTCTCTTTGCTAGAGGTTAGCCCATTCTTCACGAAGAGCCCTTTCAAGATAGTAGAGTGTATCCGGAAGTATTCGTCTTTTGAGGCTATCCCATAAATGTTCGATGGGGTTTAAGACTGGTGAACGGGCTGGCCAGGCTAACACCCTGATGTTTTGCTACTGAAGGTACGTACGTTTGTACTATGCGAGCGATATGTGGACGGGCGTTGTCGTGCATTAGAATAGGTTTCATAGAGGCAACGCATGATGTTCCAAAATTTCATCCTCAAGCCAGTGGCCGTCAAAGACCCTCAACGAACCACAATCAACTCTGTCCGCCCACTCCATCTGAGCTACGATGAAAAGGTTGGCTCTGGGAAAAATTACAGGCTTCGTACCTTTCATTTCGTCTTCTCCACACTCTTTCACGTCCATCTGGAGGTCGCAGAGCAAATCTACACTCATCTGTAAAACGAACAGCAGACCAATCGTCCAATGTCCAATGGCTGTGTTCTCGCGCAAATGCGAGCCGTGCAACTCTGTGTTCTGGTCAATTCTCGTCCTCTTACGGGTAAAACGTCATCAGCACATACTTATTTAATCGTCTTCGAGCAATACGGTTAGACATTTGGACACCTCGAACTTCCTGGATTCCTGGAGCTGATGATGCGCTTGAACAACAGTATGGTGCCGGTTTCGCAAAATTCTCAAAGTCAAAAAGAAAACGGATATCCTGTGGTTCTGCTACCCTAGGCATCCAGTACCGTGCCTTCTACGGTAGGACCCAGTTTCTGGAAAATGTCTGACGGCGTCTCGTTGTTTTTCTTAGAGAACTCCGATGGCAATTTCCGCATACCTGATGGGAACGTAACTCATCAATAAGTGCCACACCATGCACAACATCCTCAGCACCAAGTTGCATTTTTAAGTCTAAAAATTGAAATTAAGAAAACAAAGATGAAAACTAAACAGTTTATTGTATCAGAATTCAAATGAGAGACTAAATAAAGTTTATTATAATAATAAACAATAATAACAATAAATTTTAAATTCCGTAAAAAGTAAACATTGAAAAATCCTTCATCCTTATTTTGGATTAGGGATTAAGTGTGTTTACCTCTAATTGATATTCCCAATTTAAAACAGCATAAACAAATATTTGTTGGTAAAAACAATGAGACAAATTAAGGGTAGAATTTTCTTTTATCGGAAAAAAATCAATTGTGTGGAATTTTTCGCCTGTAAGTGCACATGTACATATTATTTTTCAACGTTTTTAAGGAATTATGTTTAACCGTGAGTGTACATTGACCTATAAATTGGCCAA